TTTTGAAATAAATAAATTGTTAAGAATTAAAAAAATGATGAAAATTATTGAACACCATTCCTTTGGTGCTATTTTTTGGGTAATGGGTTGAATATGAATTTCTGTTTTGTACAAATTTTAGTGCAGGGTTCGAGATGCCTAAAAGACAAAAATCTCTATTTCTATTCATTTCAAGTTAGGGCTGCACAGAAATAAAAAAAATACTATAAAATTTGAATTCAATGTGTAGTAAAAAAATATCATGATACACCTTTAACATTTATTTAGAAACAGACCTCCGCCTTGAGCTCCCGAACATCCAGTTCTTCAAGCTGAGAATTATCCAATTTCTGATTTTTCTCTGCCTCTTGACATGAATCATCTGTTTTATCCATTAAAATGTAACATTTCATCAATCAAAATCCCCAAACCAAAAGCATTTTAATGAAAAATAAAAAAATACCATCTGAAAGGAATAGCGATGACAGGGCATTCCGGTTGCGGGTGGTTACCCCCGTCTCCTGCTGGCAAAACCAAATAAACAAACATACAAATTCTTGAAATTAAGCATCACAGATGAAAACCCGCATAATTTTATTTAACAAATTCTGATTGTTCGTAATCTTACAGTAGTAGGGCCTAAGACGAGGTGAGGTTGGGAATCTTTGATACGAAAACATCCAAAAAAACAGCCCATTACTGCAATCGCCACTCTCTGCAGAAAACCTGGTGCTAATACTTCACTTTCACCTTCCTTGTTCTTCCTAGACCATACCATTTACTGCTGTATCTATCTGTAATTCTGTATATCTTAATCTGATTGATTGATGATTTAATTGTGGTAGGCTGTAATTGTCATTTAGAAAGAGAAAGAGGAGAGAGCGAGGGAGCGAGGAGGAGTGTCACTGTGGTGATGGCTCCATTGGGTTTTGAAATTCGAAAAAGAAGCTCAGAAGAGGGAAAAGCTAAATTAGATGATACGATTGCTCAGTCGCGGACTTGTGATTTTGAAAACTACGCGCTCTCTATGCTTCTCACGTGGTAGTGCGTATCAATTTTTTGGGACTTCTTTTGTCCAGCTCTTATTTGACCTATATTATTTTCATAAAAATGTATTTTTGAATAATGTATAGATGATGAATGTGTGATTAAAATATATAAAAAATTAAATTTGTGTGTAATATTATTTTATTGAAAATTGTATGATTGAAATAATATCAAATCACTGTTTAAGAATATATTTTTTTTGAAAGAATGTGGCTCAAATAAAGCCTAAAAGCATGGTTGGCCTTCCTTTAAATTTACTTTTAAATTGATTTTTGAACGTTCAACTTTTGAGGACAACCAAACAGGATTTGAATCATGTTTGGCTAAGATTAGAATGTCAAAGGATCAAGTCGAACGGCTTAACTTGTAAATGAGTTTAGCCATGGCCCTATAATATAGGGTCAAGCCAAGGCCCACGTTTGGATCATAGACCAATTAGGCTTTTTTGTTGAAAATTAAATGAAAGCCTATTTTTAAATATTGCATTTCAAAAATCAGAATGAAAGAATTTTTGTTCACAATTTTCGACATCGGTCCGCTCTTCTTGCAGTGGTGCACAATCGTCGAGCATGGCATAGCTACAAGAAATATGATTGCACATATATCCACCATCGCTACCCTTTTTCCACCTCCAAGTCGTCATCATTCACTGCTCTATCCTTTCCACTATTGTCGTCAACCCTACAAATCCAACACTGGTGCAACAACTCAACGAATCAAAATACCAACGCCAACGAAGGCGGTGGATTTCATGGCGAACGTCGTGAGGGAGGTAAAGGCGGTAGTGGAGGCTATTGTCGCTGCGAGGGATGTTATGGAAATCGTCTTCATTGAATTCTACATTGCAATTTTTCTTCGTTGTTTGGTGGTTTTGCAGTTGTAAATTGTGATTATTGGTAATGGTGTTGCGATGGTGGTGGTGGGCGATGATGGGTTTCAACCGCGTTGCGCAAAGTGTAAGCGCCTTGTTGTAACTATTGTTGTGCTATCTGAGAGAAATCGTTGAAGCTTTTTGGGGTAATTAGTGGTAGTTTGAAATGGTGGTGATGCTGGCGATCGCAATGTTGGTAGAATGTGGTAGTGTGTGCGGCTGTGTTGCTGTAGGTGCGGTTGTGGTGTTGTGGATACGATGCTGGTGTAGTGGTTGCGTATGCGCGTGTAGCGGTGGTGCGGTACCGTGTATGATGGTGGTGGCAGCATGGTGGTGACTTTAGCAATGTGTAATAGTATTGACAAATTGTTTTGAGATTGTAGGTGATCTGATGACAACAGTGGTTGTTTTGGTTGTGCTAGAGGCAATGGTGAGATGGCAATCGCAAATGTTGGTAGTTGTCACAAATTATTTTGTTGACTGTGACCATTCAATTGTTTAATCTATGACCAATAAATAATGTGTGACGGGTTAAAAATTTGTTGATTTGTGATCGATAATTTAATAGTTTGTGACTTATAATATTTGTGATTTGTGATTGATAAATAAATTGTGACTTAAAAATTTGATGACGAAATTGTGACTTATAAAATTTTTGAATTGTGACTATAAAATAATTTGTGACATATAAGAATTCTGATTTGTGATCTAAAATATTATGTGACTAACTAAATCGTTAATTTGTAACCAGATTATATAGATCTATGATTTTAATATATTTAATTGATAAATATATAATTTATTAATTAAATCATAAATAAAATTTAATAAATATTTGATTTTTGAAACTTCAAATCTTTGTTCTTAGTTTTGAAATAGATAATATTTAGGGCCTATATGATAGTGATTATGAAAATTGATTTTTTTATCGTTAAGGAGAAGAGTAGGTCATACATAGGAGTGAAAAGGTCAAAAATAATGACTGAAATAATGAAATAACGGTCAAAAAATTATTTTTTTGAAATGAAAAATTGCTATTAAACGGGACTTTAACCTATTA